TTTTAGGACCTATATTAATAATGAATGACAGAATGGTAGTTAACAGATGTCTGTCTATAATTCCATTATATTACAAGTGCAGGGGAAACTTCATTTAATGTGGAAAGATTCTCATTTTTCCAGAGCTGTAATGCAGCGTGCAGTTAAAATTAGGCTGTCTTGTTAATTGTCAAAGTATATGGAGAGAATGACTGCAGCCAGCTTCAGTGCAGGATTAGATAAGCCTCTGCAGGGAAGACCTTGCAGAAAGGCGGGAGAGCAGCTCCATCAGGGCCCCTTTGATGAAATCCCTCTGCGGAGAGAGGGGTGCTTCTAGGTAGGGGAAAGCATGTGGGATGCTCGGAAGGAGACCCTGGAGCCCTGTCCGTGAAGCACTCCTGTGCAAAGTGTGTCCCGTGTCAAGACGGCTGAAGAATAAGCTCCCCTTGTGAAGGGTGATGAGTATCTATTCCCACTCCCTGATACTTTCCCCAGTTCCTGAGCTTAGCTGTACTGGGCCAGGGTAAAGGATGAGCAGAAATCACCCCAGCCTCTAAGCCTCAACAATGTGGTTATCCAGGATCCCATAAACCTCATACCTATGGGATATAGTTTATATAGAGAAAAACCAGTTTAAATGAACGCAGCAATGTGGAAATGCTCTTGAATGTACAAAAGAAAGCTGGAAGAAATCCCTGGGGAATACCTTTTCCTCATCTCTTCCCTACTATCCTTCTACCTGTCTCCTTCTCAGTGTCAGAAACTTGTCCTTCAAAAATCACCCACTGGGGAAAGCAGATCCTTCTGCAGGATGTGAGGGGAAACAGGACGGAAGGGTGACTCTTCCAGATCAGGGCTGTATAGCGTACACCAGGATGGCAAGTCAAGCTGTTGAGGACTTTCCATAGGACCCCAACCAGCTTTTATTTAAAAACAGTAAAAATGTTTATTTGGAAGGACTACAAAAGCTTTCCCGGGGGTTCGAAGCTTAACTGCCTAATTTGAATGTGAGCGTTAGCGCAAGAGCCCAGATGAAAGCTTCTGGTTCCCAAACACTGACTTAATGACTGTGAATGAACACAAACACAACCTTCTCCTGCTGGGGGGGAGGAGACGGAAAGGGGTGAGGATGTTCCATACCTGCAGGCCAAGCTCCCCAGGTCAGTGGGAGCTTTGCTAGTGTAAGAACAGCACGACCAGCTCTAAATCTAAAGAGAGAATGCTAGAAATACTCTTCACACATATCTGTGTACCGAGGGCCTATGAAGTCAAGTGAGTGCAGAAGGCTATTACATCATAGCTCTCAGATACGCTGCTTGAGTGGATCTGTGTGGCTTTCTGTGTGACTCTGACTGTATTTCCCCCTTTGCATCTACTTCTGAGAAATAAATTTACAAAGCTGCCTGCTGATGTAAAAAAGACAGTTGTAATAGGCTTTAAAGAACCATCTCACCAGTTCAGGTGCACAATAGCCATTGACATACAGTGATGATTAGCTGCCTGATCAGATGCTTTTGGAAATCCACCTAGATGCCTGTCTGCCTGCATATGCACCCTGTATCCCTGTCAATCTGATCTTTCCCATCACCTTATCTGCTATTCTCTTCAAACCTCCAGGTACCAGACTTTGCCTCTGTTATCCAAACGTGGATTCTTTAAGTTACAGAGAAGTGCGACACCCGTTCATCTTATTAAGGTAGGTGTCTAAGGCAATCTGTGATTTGAAACAAGCTGCCTTTTCTTATTGAAGGTTTAGAAGACGAGCAAGTTTTTTAAAGTCTTTCATCTTTTTAGAAAGATCAACCTTATTTAAGAAAGTAATGTTTAGGAAACTAGATTTTAATTAAACTCCGCCACTATTGTTTTAACAAGGAAGTGTTGACTATGTTGCACCTGAAGACAAATGATTAGTGACTGGGAGCTTATGTTTTACTAAAGTAAGTTTAGAAATAGACAAAACTGCAGAGTTAGCTGATTTTGCCTGACACACACAAATGCACTTCCAGTCTCTCCTGGCCATCAACAGTGCAATCCAACGTAATTCAGTATGAGTTAGGTGCTGGTGAAGCAGAACAGTCAGATGTACTTGTATTTGTAAGCTGTGTCCATCAAAATGCTCCAAGAATGGCTAGATTTCAGTAATGCTGAGCTTTCCGTAGACAGTTCCTAAATCAGTGTACCAAATGTAGTCCACAGAAATCTTGCTTTTCCCAGATATGCAGGTTTAACTTTAATATTCATATACTGTATTCCTTTTGCTGGCTCAAGTGTAACAGCACAACGGTTACATAAACCGAAGCTTATATTAAGATGTTATTTTGACATACATGTGGGTGCCATATGTAAACACCAAGCGTATATAATAACCACCATTAGTGCAAGTCTCAGATCCAGTTAGGATGACAAATTTTTGTGATGTATTTTTTTTACAAAATGGCAATGTGAATTTAAATTTTTGCGTGCCTGAAATACAGTTTGTAATTGAAAGTAACATATACAGTTAAAAGTGAGGCAACAGTGGATTTGTTGCCTGACTCTACTAATGATTGCTTTAATATACCATTCACTTGTTAATGATGCCATCGATTATTTTACTGTAAATTAGCTGTTGTGAGTTTGAGGTCTTTTTGAAATGTCTGTGTTAGGTTACAGGAGCATAAATCAAACTCCCATCTCTTTTTACATCCATAACCATAACATATGGCTTTTATTAGAAAATGTTAAGTGTCTTATAATGTCTTCTTAATGGACAGTGTGTGCATGTGTTGATGATGAAAGCCATCTTCCTTCATGCAAAATATTAATGCATATGGCCTGCGTCTCCATAGATACAAGTTAAAGAATCAAATTTAACCCATGAAATATTCAGCATACACTTCAACTTTGCCCAGAATTTGTATTTCTCTAGTGTAACAATTGTTTAAGGAAAGAACAAGGTACGTCAGGGGTTGAATTCTACCAGGCATGCACATGTAATTGGGAATAAACGGTAAAACATCCACTAGGAAAAAAATCTTCAGAAAACCCACACAGAAACAAACAAACAAACAAAAAAAACCCCACCAAAACAAACAAACAAAAAACCCCACCAAAGAACTTCATAAGATGTCTATTCCTAAATTAAAATACCTGTAGAGAATTAGCAAATGGAATTTATATCCTCCCAGAATTCCAGTTTGTACATCACAAAGACTCTTAATATTGCTTACAGATTTTGCCCTCCAACCTAAAATACCATAATGTTTCCAAGCAAAAGGGTGTTTTAGCCTCTGTTTGTGTCCTTTTCAATGGGACAGCATACACGGACACATCTGACTTTCGGACCTTTCCACAAGATCTTGGACAAGCACACTGCCTTGACCTGAAATGTGTTTTACCCACAGATTCCTGGGCACCAGAGAGATCTGCTGTTCAAATCCACCTCTGCTAACACTGGGCTTGATTAAAGGAAGCTAAATAAGCCTTTTGAAGGATACCCTCCAGCCTTCCCTCTACGTTTCCATGTTCCCCTGGAAGAAATCAGGGATTTGAAAACTGCAATTCGACAGCATCATCCTTTCATCTCATGGTAAATATTTTATTATTCCTTTGTCCTCCATGCTGTTTAAAGGAATTTATTTAAAATATTAACTTCTTTGCTCAGGGAGGAAATCTCCAAAGGGTATGCAAGCAAGAATCTTTAGAAATGCACCAAGATAGAACTCCAGGCTCTGCTCCAGCTTTCCCCATTCATGCAGCCTGCAGACCTGGCAGTTCGCTGTTGGAGATCTCTGCTCAGACCCAAAGTCTCCAGCAGCTGCTGTTCCACCACCCATTCACGCACAACCAGCTCCCCTCTCCTCCCTGCATTTCCACATCTCTTTCTTCCATCCGTCCAATTTGCTCCCTAATCCGATCTCACTTCTTTGATCCTCCTCAGGAACACTGATCATCCTCCCACACCAAAGCACCACTCATCCCCACCGAGGGCTGGCAGCAATTATGCTGTAAGGAAGGTGCGTTTGAGAGAGGAACAAAACCTATCCAAACCAATTTCTTTGTGAAGGCACTATCCTTCATCTGTTTTCCTGACTACCAATATGGGTATCTTTGGGGTTAAACCTGCTGCTGCTCCTCAAGTAAATGTTTTCTTTACTTTTGATTTCAGGAGCAGAATCAGGCCCTAATTAATGTAATTATCCTCATAGCATGAAAGGTACCTACTTAGAGGAGACGAGTGATTTAAGACCACCTTTATCCACAGCTATGCTGTGAACTGCACCAGTGTGCATTCCCTTTCCAAAACAACTGCAGGCACCAGGAGGGGAGGAGTTGTCCTTCAGTAGCCAGGCAAGAAATCTGTGAAACACAGTGTCCCTTCTACATGAATGAACCCTCTCCTCTGATTAATAGTTCTCATTTCCCACAAGGGAAAAGACAGAGTGAGGAGGTAAGCGAGAAACTGAATTCCCCATCCTCAGAGAAGCATGATCATAAATATTTAACACGATATATATGAGAAAAGAGAAAGAGACAGACTCCTTTTCCAGTCTAGGCTGAGAAACTCTCCAAATCCCCTGGTCTCCCAGGGACTGCCTGCTCCCATGATCCTTTCCTCAACTCGGAAAGGGGAGAAAGCTGTTAGACCATAAGAGGGCTGGACAAGGTGTCTCTCCTTACTGGGGGATGACTGACTGTAAACATCTGTGCATGGGGGTAAATTACCTGGTACAATGGACATCTCCCTGACCCTCAACAGGACCCTGCCCAGACTGTGAGGATTTAGGAGCCTGCTAGAAAACAAAGGTCTCTAGAAGCCCACATACGTGTGCGCAAGCTGATGCCTTGGTGTCCACTTGTGCCCCATGCACAGGGCCTGCTTGAGAGTGTGGGTTATGGCCCCATAACCCATGCGTGATTTTTGTACAGCTACACAGAGGCTGCTCTACTCTGACAGTGGCGATAACCGTGGCAGTGCTGGGAGAAGCGGGACTGAGGAGAGGTTTGAGTGTTTTGATGAGGGTGCTGGTTGCATAGCTTACCCTTGCATATCTGGAGGAGTAGGGATCCTCAAAGAGTGCCCAGATGCGGGGCTGCCACCGTCTCCAGAAGCCCCCAGACCTGCCATCTGGGGAGTCACTAAGTGCTAGGCGTTTTGTCATCTCCAGCTCCTCTTCCCCATCACCAGAGTCCCCGGTGCCATCTATGTCTCCGTCCTCAGCACTGCTATCCAGGGGCGCCCCACCAAAGCTGTCCAGAGCCTCTTCGGCGTCGCGGTGCTGCCGGTAGGTCATCCAACAGCAGGGCTCCACATCGGTCTCATCGATGCCCCAGAAGGCCAGCTCCTCCTCATACAGGGGCCCGCACACGTCCGCGGGGCAGTGCAGCTTGCCAGTGCGGTAGTAATTCAGGATGTGGGCGAAGACGCCCGGGTGCCGGTCAAAGAAAAACTCATCCGTGCGAGGGTCATAGTCGAAGTGGCTGTGGGCATCGGGTTCGGCGATCCAGGCCAGCCGAGTGCCGGGCAGGGTGCGTAGGGTGCTGCGGTAAGTCTGGTGCCTAGTCCCTCCCACGTTGATCACAATGCGGTCGCTCTCGTCGCCCTGGCCCATCTCGTCTCTTATTAGGCATGTCGCAGACTCATCCAAGCAGGCACGGCAGGCGG